TTCCTCTTGCGCAGCAAGGCGGATGTCCCTACTGTTTTGATCCCCTGGATCCGCGCAGTTCGTCTCCAGCTCCGCGAGCGGTTCCGGTCGGACTTTCCTGTCCTGCGTCTGCACTCTGACAGAGGTGGTGAGTTCTCCTCCGACCTCTTGGCAGCCTACTGTGCGGAGCACGGCATCACCCAGTCGTTCACGCTTCCGGCCTCTCCGCAGCAGAATGGGGTTGCTGAGCGCCGCATTGGCTTAGTCATGGAGGTCGCTCGTACCTCCATGATCCATGCGGCTGCCCCCCATTTTCTGTGGCCGTTTGCGGTCCGGTACGCCGCGCATCAGCTCAACCTCTGGCCCCGTGTCTCCTTGCCGGAGACCTCGCCCACACTGCTGTGGACGGGGAAGGTTGGCGATGCGTCGCGTTTCCGGGTCTGGGGTGCTCGTGCCTTTGTCCGCGATACCACCGCGGACAAGCTCTCCGCCCGCGCTGTTCCCTGTGTCTTCCTTGGCTTTGTCCCTGACGCGCCTGGTTGGCAGTTTTACCACCCCACCTCGCGCCGTGTCTTTGCGTCTCAGGACGTCACGTTCGACGAGTCGGTTCCCTTTTACCGTCTCTTCCCCTACCGCACTGCCTCGCTCCCCCCCCCCGCCGCTCTTCCTCGCTCCAGGTGCTCCCCAGGTAGACCCCCTCCCCGCTCCCGGTCCTGCTCCTTCAGGTGTTTCTCAGGTAGACCCTCCTCCCTTGACTGCGCCGGTTGAGGTCACTGGTGACTCAGGTCCTACTGAGGGTGGTCCTGCTCGGGGTGCTACTTCTGGGGGTGCTGAGCCTGGGGGTGCTGAGCCTGGGGGTACTGAGCCTGAGGGTGCGGAGCTTGAGGGTGTGGAGCCTGGTGGTGCTGAGCCTGAGTGTGAGGGGTCTGGAGGTGCTGAGGGTGCTCGCGCTGGAGGTTCTGGAGCCGCTGGAGGTACTGGTGCTGAGGGTACTGACACCGGAGGTTCTGGAGCCGTTGGGGGTGCGGGCGCTGAGGGTTCTGAGTCTGCTGTTGCGCGGTCTCCTTGGAGTAGCCGCCTTCGTCCACGTGTGCCTCTCACCCCACAGCAGCTGCAGGACTGGTACGGTCGCCGTCAGCGTCGCGCCGCTGGAGCTAGGAGTGGTGCTGGTCCTTTGTCTACTGGAGGTGCTGGAGTTGCTGGTTCTGGAGGTGCTCGTGCTGGAGACACTGAGGCTGGAGACCCTGGGACTGGAGGTGTTTGCTCTGCGGGTGCTGCTGCTGGAGTCACTGAGGTTGGAGACCCTGGGACTGGAGGTGCTGGCTCTGGGGGTGCTACTACTGGAGACACTGAGGTTGGAGACCCTGGGACTGGAGGTGCTGGTTCTGGGGGTGCTGCTGCTGGAGACACCGAGGCTGGAGACCCTGGGACTCGAGGTGTCGGCTCTGGGCCTGGAGCTTCTTCGCTCCGCCGTCTCCGTCGTCTCTGCCGCCGTCTGCCTCTGTTCTTCGTCAGGTTCTTACTCTTCCGTCGTCTACTGGTCTTCCGTTACTGCCTGGCTCACCGCTGCCTGCTCCTTCTCCTTACACTGAGCAGACTGGTAGTCCTGCTGAGCGTCGTGAGCCTGCGTCGCGTCCTGTCTCGCCTGCTCGTCCTGGTCGTACCGGTCGTCGTGTTCCTCGTTCGCGTCAGCCGGCTGTCCCCAGCGCACACCTCGTAGTCCGTCGTCCTTCCTCTGCTCCGCCGCCTGTTCCTCTGCCGTCTCCTCCTGCGTCCTCTCTGCCTGCCGTTCCGGACCCTGAGTCTGACCGGTTTCGTACTGAGCACCCTACTGTCACGCGTCTCCTAGCCACTGTTGTCACTGACCCGTCGTTTGAGTCTACTGCTGCGTCTGCCTTGGTCGCTGAGCTTGTTGACTTTGCTGCTGCCTGTCGTCTAGACTACGCCGCTAGTCTTGTTGCTGAGTCTGAGTCTGTCTGTCCTCCGTCCGTCGGGGGTGAGTGTGCTCTTAGCACGGACGTCCTTGAGGACAGGCAGGAGGAGTTCCAGTGTCTTGCTGCTGCTTTACCTCATCTTGTGTCCTCGCTACTTGCCCCTGAGGGAGACCCGGATGCACCAGACATCCCGACTCCGCGCTCTTACGCAGAGGCGATAGAGGGTCCCTACTCCTCTCAGTGGCAGGCAGCCATGGACGCAGAGATGGCTTCCTGGAAGTCCACAGGCACCTACGTTGATGAGGTTCCCCCACCTGGGGCGAACATCGTCAGTGGCATGTGGATTTTCAGGGTGAAGCGGCCGCCGGGTTCTCCGCCTGTCTTCAAGGCGCGTTACGTGGCTCGAGGCTTCAGTCAGCGAGAGGGAGTTGACTTCTTCCAGACCTTCTCCCCCACCCCGAAGATGATCACTCTTCGGGTGCTGCTGCACGTTGCTGCTCACCGTGACTACGAGCTTCACTCTCTTGACTTCAGCACAGCTTTCCTGCAGGGCAGCCTGCACGAGGAGATCTGGCTGCGCCGCCCCCCGGGCTTCACTGGGTCGTTCCCTCCTGGTACCCAGTGGAGCCTCCGGCGGCCGGTCTACAGTCTCCGCCAGGCGCCACGTGAGTGGCACGACACACTGAGGACTACGCTTGCGGCTCTTGGGTTCGCGCCTTCTACTGCTGACCCGTCGTTGTTTCTGCGCACCGACACTTCACTGCCGCCGTTCTACATCCTCGTGTACGTCGACGACTTGGTTTTTGCCACTGCTGACACTGAGGCTCTCGCCCACGTGAAGTCGGAGCTGCAGAAGAGACACACGTGCACAGACTTGGGTGAGCTGCGCAGCTACCTTGGCTTGCAGATCACCCGGGACAGAGCACGCCGCACCATCACCTTGACTCAGTCACACATGGTGCAGCAGGTCCTTCAGCGCTTCGGCTTCACCTGGTCTTCAGCACAGGCCACTCCTCTGGCTACAGGTCACACGCTCTCAGCTCCACCTTCGGACGAGTCCGTAGAGCCGAGTGGTCCTTACCCAGAGCTAGTCGGCTGCCTCATGTACCTGATGACTTGCACTCGACCTGACCTCGCATACCCTCTTGGTCTTTTGGCTCGTTACGTGGCTCCTGGTCGGCACCGACCTGAGCACATGGCTGCTGCTAAGAGGGTACTGCGCTACTTGTGCAGCACATCAGGCATGGGGCTAGTGCTTGGAGGGACGAGCCCAGTTGTCCTCACTGGGCACTCAGACGCTTCTTGGGTTGACGACCAGGCTACTCAGCGGTCGTCACAGGGTTACACCTTCAGCCTTGGCTCTGGTTCAGTTTCGTGGCGTTCTACACGCTCGTCTTCAGTTCTCAGCTCCAGTTGTGAGGCTGAGATCTACGCCACCGCCATGGCTGCACAGGAGTTACGCTGGCTCACCTACCTGCTGACTGACTTGGGAGAGCGGCCTCGTTCTCCTCCAGTGCTGTACGTTGACAACAAGGCTGCCATTGCCTTGTGTGAGGAGCACAGACTGGAGCACAGAACGAAGCACATTGCTCTGTGTTACTTCCTGGCTCGAGAGTTGCAGCAGCGAGGCCAGCTTCGTCTTCGCCACGTGGCCACTCGGGCCAACACTGCTGATATATTCACCAAGGCACTTCCGTCTGGTGATCATCAGCGCTTTTGTACTCTGTTGGGCCTTGTGCCTACGTTTCCACACTTGCTGTAGTCTCTGCTTGTACTGTGATCTATATATATACCTGCATGCTGGCTCTTGCTAGGTAGCCATCACTGTACTGTTATTGCTGCATATATATCTCTGCATGTGAACTGGCCTTGTGGCCCTTTGCTTGTGCTCAGAATGCGTGGTGACGTTGTGATCCACCCTGAGCTTGTTTTGCTTCTCTTGACTGGTCGTGTGACCCCTTGTTCTCCCCCACTTTGCCTATGGGGGTGTGTCAAACTGTATGTGCAGCATATTGTCTAGGCTGTAGTGGGGTAGCCCATATGGGGTACAACCAAATTAGGGTTAACTACTTGTACTCCTGCATCCTGCTAGTTCATTCATTCCTGCTGCTAGATTCTAACAAACTGCACACAGATTGCGATCCACGTCATGCTGACTCACTGGCAAGCTCCTCACACGCGCCTGAATCGATCGAAAGTAGCCCCCCAGCATCGCGTAAAAACGTTTCGGGGGGTGATGCGTCCCTCTTCATAGAGAAACTCGCTAAAATTGACCTCGCGATTCACATCTAGATAAGGGGAGGGTGTACTGATAAATTCAAAAAATCAGGGGGGTGTTCTAACTGGTGTATTTCTGAGTACACCCACCGTAATTGAACACCCATGGGTGTTTTTGGGGGGTGTACTATGCGGGGGATTACGGTATTTGTATTCATTGTATTTGCATGATTTAATCATCTCAAGCATTTTACATTCACTCTGCTATTGAGGTCAAGGGCCCACCAAACTATCTCACTGCGTGCGAACCTTCCTGGGTAGATCCTGGGCTACGATCAACTCGCAGCACTATCAAGCCACCTCCTATCAAGATTGTACATTTTACCTGGTAAAAGTAGCGACAGGTTTTGGGTTTAAGGGATTTTCGATTATGAGCTTGATAGGAGGTCAGATTGATAGGAGGACAGAATTACGCCCTTGGTGAAGGCACTCTCTTTCGCCTTTTCCAATTCAGTAGCTCTGTTTTTCTTGGCTCTCCCAGCACGCTGCAGCAACGAGGTTTGTGCACTGCACATTGGAGGCATGGTGACATGATCAAGCAAGGTGACTTTTGTATTTTTCATCTGCTATGTCATATCGGATCACACCACGTTTTTGGGGATGAAGGCTGGTAGATTATTCTTTTCCATGGCGAAACATTTTGGTGTAACCTCCGTAGCAAGTCCAGTGCTATATTTCAGAGGTTCTGCTGGCATCCATGATGTAGACGTTTCGTTACAACTTGGAAACAAAAAGAATCAAGTCGGCCAATCCCAACCGAAGTTTCCACAAACCAGGCATAAAAAAGGAGCACGTCATCCAAACAAAATCCTAGGAACACGATAATGAAAAATTATTAAGTGGGATGTGTGCCACGTTCCTGCAAGGCAAAAAAAAGGGCGAGGCACATAGTAACACAAATTATTACCGGCCAAGCCAAGCCAGGACAAAGGATAGGGAGGAGCAAAAAAATGTACACAAGGTCTGGGACGACTGTTCTGTTCTGTTCAGTTCTGCCATTCCAGTAGCACCATCCCCCAGCTCACCTATTTGGAGAGCAGTGAGATGAGTTCAGCCTTGATGTCGCCCCGCACGTCCCTCTGGCGGGCCAGAGCTCTCAGCTCGCCCAGCACTCTGACATGTATCAGCACTTGTATAACTTCAGCATCACCATCCCTCTCCTCACCGTATCTGAACAACAGCTTACCTATTTCGAGAGTAGCGCAATGAGCTCTGCCTTGGTGTCGCCCCGCACACCCCTCTGGCGGGCCATGGCTCTCAGCTCGCCCAACGACTTGTTGGCCAGCGATGAGGCGGGGATGGGGGTCGCCCTGTGGGTGATGGATGGGGAGGGGAGGAAGAGAATGGAGGGATGGTGAGAGGGAGTGCAAACATGCAAAGAAGGGCACTGACTGGCGAAACTAACAGCTGTGACCTTTGTTTCATGCAAAAGCAGAGGGAGTATGAGAAGGGGTGGGAAGGGAGAGCAAGAATTGAGGAGGTATGACGTGTGGAGGTGAGGTGAGCACAGCGAAGGCCTGGTGGTATGGCTACAACTGCACAACTTACTTGGCAGCACCGTTGCCAGCAGGAGCAGCAGCAGCAGGAGCAGCAGCAGGAGCAGCAGCAGCAGCAGGGACAGCAGAAAGCGCCTTAATAAGCTCCGCCTTGGTATCCCCCCGCACGCCCCTCTGCCTGGCCAGCGCCCGCAGCTCCCCCAGCGACTTGCCCTCCAGCCCAGCCGCCCCCCCTGCAGCGGGCGCCGGCGCAGCAGCGCGAGCAGGCGGAGCAGCAGCAGCACTGGGCGCAGCGGGAGTCGGGGGAACAACAGGGGGAGTCCTGCCTCCGTCGAAGGTTCCCCGGGCGATAGCATCAGCGTTGGCGTTTCCAAGGGCCGCCTCGTTGAGGTATGTGTCAGCAAGCTGCACACGCTTTACATTCTCCTGCTCAGAGACCAGCAGGTGCCCGTACTCCAGGAGGGTAGCCAGCGGCATGCTCGGCTTTTCGAATTCCGGAGGGCCGGAGCGGGAGTTGACCAGTTTCTTGCCCATGTTCTCGATCCCGATCGAGCCCACCCAGTTACGGACCAAGTCGTCGTACACACGAGCGCGCAGAGCCCCGAAAAAGTCAATGGACTGGCCGGGGAAGGTGTCGACGAGCTGGATGACGTCATACTCGGACACGTTGTCTTCCCGGAAGATTCCCTTGCACACGCCGATGCGGTCTTCGCGCGTGGGCGCCCAGTAGAACTTGTCCATGCGTCCGTCACGGATGAGCGGCGCGTAGAGCGTTGAGAAGTCGTTGCCTGTCACGATGATGGGCACTCGGTTGATCTCCTCCTTGTTGTAAATGCCAGGCATCTGGAGAGGGGGAGAGGGGAGGGAAGGGGGAGTGCAAGTCATTTAGATGGTCACTCGGCTGGGTCTCCTCGTTGTAGATGGCATCCGATCAAGGATGGGGGGGGGATGGTGGAAGGGAGGAGGGCAGGTGACCGCACAGGGAAAAGGGCAGAAGGGGGTGAGTGGAGGGAAGGAGGGAAGCCTGTGAGGGATACTGAGGTTAGCGGGAGTGACTGGGAGGGAAGAAAGGTTATTGAGGATGGCGAGGATGGGCTTGCAAAGGGAGGAAAAGCGGGTACGTGAAAAACTATTGTCATTCCACGTATCATAATGACATTCCATTCATACGTCTTCATTTTAGGATTTTGTGGTTGCTGACACCCCCGGCTGATCAGCAATAGTCTAAGCTCCATTGGGCCATAATATTTCACGGTCGCATCCTCTGGAGGCACTCTCGCTACAATCACGTTCCGACATTCGTTAGAAACACAGTAGTTTCGCGATACGAGAAATGCCCACCAATCCCTTCAAGAGATTTCAAGCCTGGACTTGCCCCGGAGTTTCGCATGCTCTACAATTAGCGAACAAAGACCGGTGTCCAACCTGCGCCAGCTGCTGCTAAGCGCGCTTAACTAAACAGCCAGGCGTTCACCTCCACTAAACAACGCCGAAAAAAAAAAGGAGGAAGACCTCGCAACAGCGTGGTGTTAGCGTACCTGCACGTTGGTGGGGTTGTCGGCGATGTTCATGAGCGTGGCGTTGACCATCTGGTTGTTCACCGTGTACTGCGTCGTGCCGCCCTCCCAGCCTTACCAGCACACACACCTTCAATCTCACCCGCGTCAACGGCAAAATAACAGCCTCTAACCTGCGCGACGCGCGCTACGCGCGCGCGACAACATCTAGCAGACAGAGCGAAACAGGGACGAGCAACCGTTCGGTGGTTACCACTGGCGGCATACATACCTGGACGTTGGTGGGGTTATCGGCGATGTTCATGAGCGTGGCGTTGACCATCTGGTTGTTCACCGTGTACTGCGTCGTGCCGCCCTCGCAGCCTTACCAGCACACACACCTTCAATCTCACCCTCTTCAACGCCAAAAGAAAACCCTCTAACCTGGGCGAACGGGCGCAAAGCGCGCGAGAGCAACAGCTACCAGACACAGCGGAACAAGGACAGGAAGCTGTCTGATGGTTACCAGAGCACGCAGTAGCGCACCTGCACGTTCGTGGGGTTGTCGGCGATGTTCATGAGCGTGGCGTTGACCATCTGGTTGTTCACCGTGTACTGCGTCGTGCCGCCCATGCGCCCCGCGCCCGCGTCGAGATCGTTGATGAACAGCGCGCACATCTTGCCCTTCTTGATCAGGTCGGAAGCTTCGCGGTAACGCTGCGAGAGGAATTGAGAAGAATGGATACGAAAATAGAAGAATGGGATATGTTGCTGCCAGGCGGTGGTACATAGACGCGTGTGACGACGAAGGATGCTTAAACATGGAGCTAATCAAGAAGGGAAAGACCCCAGCACGAATAGTTGACGCTTAGACTCACCAAACGAATGGACAAAATGACTAGGCGACAGAACGACAGAGCGTGAAAAGAAATACCCTCGTGCTACTGGGATTTCTTGCAGCATTGCGACGCGCTCACCTGGCGAATGAGCTTGGCGGGCTCTCCGGCGTTTCCGCTCTCGAGCTCTCCCGCGGAGATCATGATGGGGTTGATGCCCATCTTAGCGAACACCAGCTCGCACTGTAACGCGTACACGAGGAAATACAGCGGAAATGCGGGTTAGATAGCCATACTAAAAATAGCTCCAGTACATTTAGTAGCTGAATACTCGTACGCGAAAGGCTATTGCGTGTAAACATGTCATTGCAGAGGAATTGTACCGCACAACTTATTAGGACACGAACCGGCATTGCAAAAAGGATTAGAGGAAGAGTTGGGTGGTGGGGAGGGGGAGGGGAAGGAGGAGGGGGAGGGGGAGGGGGAGGGACGAGCAGGAAAGAGACATACACTACTCCTGCAAGTTGGTCAGAAATACCACTCACCCCACCCCCCGCCCCACCCCACCCCCCACAAAAAACACACACACACAAAAAAAAAAAAAAACACGAGGGGAAGGCATACCTGGAAGGACTTGCCCTGGCCCTTGCCACCCCAGATGCCGAGGATGAGCGGCACGCGGATGTTGGGCAGCTGCATGAAGTTCTTGCAGATGTGCACCACCATCTTGTCCATGAACGCGGGGGCGATGTACAGGCCCTCGGCGGTGACGTTGCTCAGACTGGGGGGGGAAAGGGGAGTGGGAGGGGGGGGAAGGGGATGGGAGCGGGAGGGGAGGGGGGGGAAGGGGGAAGGAGGGAGGCTGGAAAGTGGGTACGAGTAGGGAGCAACGACGCGGATGTTGGGCAGCTGCATCAAGTTCTTGCAGATGTGCACCACCGTCTTGTCCATGAACGCGGGGGCGATGTAGAAAATGAGGTTAAGCGGACGGTTCAGCGTTCGAGTTCCGCCTTCACAATACTGCGGGAGTCTGGTTGCGGGAGCAAGAGAGACACGGTGAACATTGCGCGGACAGGGAGAAACAGTGACGGGCTAAGAGCAGAACGGGGAGCAACGAAGCGAGGGTTCAGCGTGTGTTCGGCGTTCCGCGAGGTCTCCACACGGCTCTCCGGCAGCGGCGCGAAAGAACTCGAAGAGTACAGGGGAAGTAAGGTGTAAATTGACACCGGAAGAGCAGACGAAACGAAGACGCGCGGCAGAGAGTCTACAGAGCACGCCGGACGTACTGACGCTGGCCCTGGCTCATGTAGTCGTACGAGAGGGAGCACCCGCGACACGCACGACGGAGCACGAGAGAGACGCACTGGGGAGCATACGATAGACATGCGAGAGCAAGAGAGAGCACGCGGGACGTTCTTGCGCTGGCCCTGGCTCATGTAATCGTACGGACTCGGAGAGAGTCGGACGAGAGAGCACGCGAGCATGCGAGAGCACGCGAGCATGCGAGAGCACGAGAGAGCACGCAGGACGTACTTGCGCTGGCCTTGGCTCATGTAGTCGTAAGAGCTGAGCACCGCCGCGTGCGTGCCCTGTCCCCATCCGCCCTGGAACGCCGAGTCCACCATGCCCTTCCCGCGCGTGATGTCCTGCTGGTCGTCGGAAATGTCGCGCCCCAGCGCCGCCCAGCGGTCCTCCGCCATGCACGTCACGCGCGCGCGGCCCGCGGGGGGAGCTCCGGGGAGCTTTGCGCCCGAGAGGGTGGCATTGCTGGAGAGCTGCGCGGACGAGCCGAGCAGCGCGGAGGAGGCAATCTGCAGGCGGGAACAGGGGGAGGAGAAGCACGGGGGATGAAGAAAGGGAGGCGGGAGAAGGAAAGGAAGACGGTGAGGTGAATGGGAACCGTAGAGCGTATTGCAAGGAGGATAAAGTACGCAACATGGACAAGCAGAGTTTGGAGAACAGCGGAATGAATAGAACGAAAAACAAGGTGACGACACATATAGATAAAGGTTGGGATGGCGGACCTTGGCTGAGAGAGTGGTCGAAGCCATAGTGTCTGCTACAAGGTCACCAAACACGGAGAGCTAGTAGCAAGTGGACGGACGGCAGTCGCCAAGAATCACGGCGAAGGCGAAGAGAGCAAGTTACTCGTGCGAGCAAACTCGGCTCACGTCAGCCAGTGAAGAATAATAAGCAATGGAGTCAACACTCTCAAGGTTAGCAAACTGGGACAACTTTGGCAAGACCAGATTGAAGAAGGGAGGAGGTTGGTGGGAAATGAAGAAGCAATTGATTGGCAGCCATGGCTGCCCGCCTGGTGTCGAGCTGGGCCACCACAGATGGTGGATGAGAGGATCCGCCAGATGCCACGTCGGACAGATGCCACGCGACAAGGAGGGCTCTACGAGCACCACGGTCAACTACAGACCACGACGGCCGTCGAGGACCGATGGGGAGGGAGCTATCTGCTCTCGGATTTTGCCGCGTGGCAGGCGGTTCGATTTGGAAGAAATATCAGCCACAAGTGCCCTCTGAAACATCCCATCAGGCCTTGATTCGGGACAAGCATCGGGAGCCACTAGATGGGCGATCTTGAATCTGGACGGGCTACTAAGGCAGAGCTGGCTAGCTGGCCACATCAAAACCACGTCAGCAGTTCCTGCGTGGATAACGAGAAAGAGTTCGTCATTGAGTTGCTGCCCGAAAAGCTAAAATTTTCAACTTCTACGCTCGTTCGAGTTTCTGTCCTCCCAAAAAGCAGTTGCTAGGCAAACGGCCGTTCGTGAACCTAGACCAATTCCGTCGGCTCTTTATCCGACGTGGAAGCTGCCAGCATGGCCGAACCATTTGGAGAACACCCTTTTTGAGGCTCGCCACGCTGGCAATTCGATCTATCACCCGTTCGTCGTCAATCGCAGACCAGCAATTTCTTTCGGGGGCACGTGTGGTGGAGACGGAGACGAACCTTGCCCGGGAACTCGTCCGCACCGGAGCCGCGCAATTACCTGGGGCCCTCACGCATCCCCGCGAGACCCGTCGGCGCACATGCCATGCCCTGCTGGTTTCCGCTTTTCCCCCATGCATCTCCCACTACCGTTCCCCACCCTACTCAAAACCCCTCTCCCCAAAGCCAACTGCCGAAATTCCAGCGGAGTGTTCCACCCACGGTGGCGAGGGACGGAAAGTGGTTTGGCAGCCACGGCATTCCCGAGGCGAGACAGCTCAAATTGAGCGAGCTGAGCATTATTTCGAAAATTGTCTTCTGCTCGCTCGTCTGCCTTTCTGCTCAATTGCTGACTAGTTAGCTCGTTCCTACCTCGCTTCTTCGTCAGCTTCGTCAGCAAAGAGCAGCCATGGCCGCCGTCGCTCAGAAGGTACTTGTCCTCGCCATTGTAGTCTTGAATGACGTTCCAGAGTAGGATAAAGCTCTTATTTCCCGTTACAGATTGGCCTACGGATCGACGGCCAGGAGTCATAACGACAGCATTAGGTTTCTAACAGCCATAAAAACCCCCGCAATGTCGACTTTATCCTGCCGTTTCCAATATCTAACGATGTTATTCCGTCTGCACGTACGTCTCCGTTTTCCTCTCTTATCTGCAGTCCGCCTTCCTGGCAGCACCTGCTCTCTCCTCCATGGAGCAGGCACGCTCAGTGTCCACGATGGTCTCGCTCCCAGCGATCCAGGCCAAGCAGCAGCGTCGGTCACTCGTCGCCGTCGCGGCTTTGACCGCGCGCGACCTGCAGGGTCGGTCGTTGGAGCAGCTGCGCGCCATGGCCCGCCAAAGGGGTATTGTTGGCAACAACAAGGAGCAGCTCATCGCCGCCCTCACTGGGTGAGTTCTCGGTTGAAACCTCAATCGTCCGCCTATTACCGAGAGTTATCCCTTCCAATGGTCGTCGGTTTCATGCTCCATTGGTGCATCATGCTTGCCTCCGCTGCTTCATATTTTTCTTGCCCTCTGTCGCATATCAGTTAGTCCTTCAGTTGTCCGTATTTGCTCCAAGTGCTGACATATCTCAATGTCATTCTAATTCTTTATTTCGCTGTTGTCATGACTCTCTTATTCCTTCGCGCAGCGGAGCCTCCGCAGCCAAGCCCGCGTCGTCGTACAGCAGCGCTGCTGCGGCCGTGTCGGGCGACGAGGCTCTCCTGCAGAGCAAGTCTCTGGGTGAGCTGCGCGCGCTCGCCTCCGCCAAGGGTCTCCGCGGCGATACCAAGGCGGAGATCATCAAGCTGCTCCTGTAAGCATCGCTGCCTCGTCCGTCTTGCGTGGTCCGCCTTTCGGCACACATCCCCTGCTTTCTGTTGTCTGTTTTCTCAAGTCTGTCGCTTATGGAAACCGCTGCTTCTCCCTGACTATTCTCTGTCAGCTGTCTGTGTCTATGCCTTTGCTCCTACTGTGTAATTGCTAGAGCCCTTGTTGCCTTGCTGATAGTATTGTTTGCTTGTTTTAATGTTCTTCACTTTCTGTTCTTCCCAACTGCAGGAGCGTCGGTGGTGTCACCCCCGCCCCCGCCGCGCCCGCCATTTCCTTCTCCGCGGAGGCGCTTGCGCCCGTGGTCCCCAACACGCAGTCTATCTCCGACTACCAGCGCCGCCTCCAGACCAAGCCCATGTCCAAGCTGCGCGCCGTTGCGCGCATGCGCGGAGTCGTGGGGACCACCCGTGCGGAGCTGGTTGCGGGGCTGCTCGCGTACCACTCCAAGGCCGGCGTTGCTGGCGCTCCCGCGTCCGCGGTGCAGGCGGCGGCGCAGGACAAGCCCGAGATTGTCGGCCAGCTAGAGAGCCTCGCGTTGAGCGAGCTGCGCGCGCTCGCTAAGGCGCGGGGAGTGCGCGGAGACACCCGCAAGGAGCTCATCAAGCTCCTCACGTAAGTACCTTCCGTTATAAGCACTTCATGCAAACATAAACTTGAAGCTCAAAAATGTTGGTAACAAATTACAGATAGTGAATAATGAGTTTCTTCCCTCGTTCCCGCTTCTCTATTGCAGTGGCACCGAAGCCCCCAAGGCTGCTGCTGCCCCCGCTTCCTACACCAACGGCAGCGCCGTGCAGGCGGCCTCGTACTCGCCCTACGCCCCGTCCTCCGCCCCCGTGTCCTCCTCCGCGCCGTCCCTCCCCAGCGCGAGTGTCCTCGCCACGAAGTCGCTCGCGCAGCTGCGCGCGATTGCTGCCCAAAGGGGTATCCGCGGTAACACCAAGCAGGAGCTGGTGAAGGCTCTGACCTCGTAAAAAGGGAGATTTCAAGGGGGGAATATTTGGGGATGCTTATGTTATTTGTATGCATTTAGGCCACCACGAATTGTCTCCTTTTTTTTGGGCTCTAGAGCCTTCAACAGTAAAATATTCAAATTTTCACTTGCATGTGCATTGGCATCAGCCCATTGGCACTGGGGAGCAGGGAGGGGAGTGAACATTGAGCAGTGCTGCTGGCTGGCATCAATCAGAAGATCCTGCTGGGGCATGACATTTGTTGATACCGGTAACTGTTGCTGGCTCTAATGTGCACACCTACCAGTGATGAGAGGGCAGGGCGCCCATCTCCAGAAATGTTCGGAAGAGAATATTACATGCACAGGCCTGGGCGAATTCCTGGCATGTGCTAAGGGCTGATGCAATTCGTGTTTGGTTTGGCTCGCCCCTTCCAACCAATGTAGCGCAACATCAGCAGCATTGCGTCTGCTTGACTACTTCTGGATATGTACACAGGTGGATAGGCTAGGCGGCAGTTTCCTCACAGTGCACATCACGTCTGCACCTGCAAGCACAGACGTCAAAGCCAATAACAAACCAGCAGCCATCAGAACCGACGGAGCAAAGCTGAACACGCAGCAGTGACCAGCAACACAAGTCACAAGCAGTCACACAAGTCATAGGTACCGTACAAGTGTTCCCAACCCTTAGCCTTAATGGAGAGATGAGAGCGGCTCGTACCTGGAAGAGACCACCACCCTTCTTCAGCAGGTAGCCCGCTTCATTCAGGCTGTCAATCAGCACATCAAAACCGCTGATTTTTAGCCCCCTTAAGAGAGATGAGAGCGGCTCGTACCTGGAAGAGACCACCACCCTTCTTCAGCAGGTAGCCTGCTTCATTCAGGCTGTCAATCAGCGCATCAAAACTGCTTATATTTAAGCCCACTCAAGAGAATGGGAGCGGCTCGCACCTGGAAGAGACCACCACCCTTCTTCAGCAGGTAGCCTGCTTCATTCAGGCTGTCAATCAGCGCATCGAGATCTGGCACCCTCAGACACATGTCGTCAGCTAATTGGGCCAGCTCCTGACAGGCACAGGGAGAGATGGGGCAACACGGTATGGAAGGAGCGTGGCATGGCATGAGGGCATCAGGTAGTCAGAATCTACGCCGGCGACTGGATCACCCACTTATTCTGATGTAGAGATGGGCAGGATAATGAGTCAAATCAAGGGTCTGATGAAGATCTGATTCTGCGAATTTGTCCGATACTCCGCGCACCATCTGGAGGAGATAAGGGCGTGTTCCTACGGCCCCTTATCAGGCCAACCTCTTGTCAGATTCGCGTCGCACCGCACTGAAACACGCGTAATAACATTCGATTGCTTTGAAATGCATTGAACCGCACAAGTCTGACAAGAGCTTGTCTGATAAGAGGCTGTAGGAACACGCCCTAAGAAGGACCTTTCTGGACAAGCACGCCTTGATGACCTGCTTGGCAGGTGTGAGTGCTGATGTGAGTGCTGATGCGAGTGGTGAAGCGAGTGCTGAAGCGAGTGGTGATATGAGCGGTGTCAAAGCCAAGACGAACCTTTCTGGACAAGCACGTCTTGATGGCTTGCTTGGCGGTGCACTGCAGGGCGGCCAGGAACCGCTTTGACTCCTTTGACTTGCTGGAGCTGCCTTGGTGATGTGAGAGGAGTAAGAATAAAAGACGAATCTCTTCCAAGACGCACCTTCCTGGAGAAGCACGTTTTGATGGCTTGCTTGGCGGTGCCCTGCATGGCGGCAAGGAATCGATTTGACTCCTTTGACTTGCTGGAGGTGACTTGCAATGTGAGTGGTCATGTGAGTCAACTCAACTCAGGAATTAAAAAAGCACCTTCCTGGAGAAGCACGTTTTGATGGCTTGCTTGGCGGTGCGCTGCAGCGCAGCCAGGAACCGCTATGACTCCTTTGACTTGCTGGAGGTGAATTGATGTGAGAGGAGTAAGAATCAAAGACGGACCTTCCTGGAGAAACAAGTTTTAATCGCCTGCTTGGCGGTGCGTTGCAGGGCAGCCAGGAACCGCTTTGACTCCTTTGACTTGCTGGAGCTGCCGCCCCTCCCCGCGTCTATGTTGCCCGCCTCGTCTGTTAGCTTATCCAGCAGACACTCCCCCATCAGCTCCACTGCCTCTTGAGCATCAGCCTCGGTAACCTCCTCCCGAAGCTCCACGCGGGCCCGAGCCTCGGCAAGCCGGACGAGGCTCTCCAGCTGGCGCGCTGTGATTGGAGGGCCGTCCATGGCCCGGCTGTGCTCCCTCAGTCGCAGGTAGAACGCCTTGATTACTGCCCGCGCCTCCTCTGATAGTCTGTGTAGCGGGCGACAAGCAGGGTGCCATTAAGGGAGGGATTTCATGGCTGTGCCCCCTCAGTCGCAGGTAGAACGCCTTGATCACTGCCCGCGCCTCCACTGACAGCCTGAAACGGGTGGCAGAAATGGTGGGATTGCAGTTAGCGAAATGTTGATACACGGTGGGATAGCAGCGGGGGATGTATAGGTTGGGATTGCGGCTGTGTGCGTCCTCAACCGCAGGTAGAACGCCTTGATCACTGCATGCGCCTCCTCTGACAGCCTGTAGCCGGCGGCAAAAACGGCGGTAGAGCGAATGCAGTGGGCGGGCTTGGTTGGCATGGCAGCAGGAGGGTTGATGTAGGATTAAGGCACCTCAGCAGGCGAAAAGGGGGCCCGCTGGTAATCAGGACCCAGCTAGGGTGCAGGTGCATGCGGGAGGGCACAAATGATGTGCTAGCAAGGGCAAGCACGTGAGAGGGGGGAGAAGGCTGAACGTTACTATAAGTGGGACGCACCTGGGGTGCACGTGCGTGCGGGCATAGGCGAGCAGGGGGGAGGGAGAGGAGAAATGTCAAGCAGAATGGGTAGGATGGACGCACCTGGGGTGCACGTGGGTGCGGGCATAGGCGATATACTGGCGCAGGCGAGCAGGGGGGAGGGGGGAGAAGTTGCGGGCAGCAGAGGAGCGCAGGCGCAGGCGGTGGGAGAGAGGCAGGTCGAGGTGCGATGCATTGCCGTCCGTGGCTGATGGGGCTGTCAGGAAGAGGTGGGCTGGCGGGGTGAGAGGGGGTGGGATGCAGGGATGTGTCAATTAAGATGGGAGGGAGAAAGAGAGGTCGAGGTGCCATGCATGGCCGTCCATGGCTGATGGGGCCGTGAGGAAGAGTTGGGTTGATGGGGTGGGATGGGGTGAGAGATGGGGAGGAGGTTCAGTAATGGGGAAGGTTGGGATGTGACAGTGACTATCAGTCTCAGAAAGGGTAAGGTTCAAGGAAGAGTTGGTGTGAATGAACAATCGGAAATAACCAGCACAGGACACAGGCAGTGTGGGAGGCATTGTTGACATCAAGACGAGGCAGCGTGGGGCACGACTTACAGCTACGTTTGGATGCCTTGGAGCGAGAAGGCATGCCCGCATGCATCTGTGAATCGTCCGGGGAACAAGAGGCAACAGGGAGAAGGACGAAAGGTGTGGATAATACAAATCTGCTTTTGAGCCCTCAGCGAGAGGCCCTAACACATGGCATTCACTCATAACTCAACCACATGCGTACACCACATGCCCCTACCGCGTACCCAGCCCACCCTCTCACCTGCAGCACGTGTTCTGACAGACGCTGGTCTGTGTGGTGATCTGGGCGGTCCAGGAGAATGAAGATCAAATCGAATCTTGAAAGCAGCGCAGCTGATAGCTTCAAGTTCTCGTTCAGGGTGCGTGCTCGACTGGTGTGCAGAGAAAATGGGAGAAATCGGGAGAGGTTGGGAGGGGAAGGGAGGGGCCGGGAAGGAAAAGCGAGGGTGGGGGAAGGAAGTAGTGGGGCAATGGGAGATCAGGAGGGCATGAAGGAAACACGGCAGCGAGAAAAACAGAAAGTGAGGAAAAAAGAGGGATCAGGGGGGAACGGAGAGAGAGCACCATGGCTGTGACCTGCGAAATAAGAATCAGCTGGGTGCAGAATACAAGGCTGACAGCTCGTTCCTCGGTTCTTGGCGCTCACTTGTAATGCCCGCCAACAGGGTTGGCAGCAGCGAGCACTGCAGTGCGCGCACTGAAGTTTGCGAGCAGACCTGCCTTGGCCACACTCACGCTCTGCTGCTCCATCGCCTCTAGTAGGGCCTGTTAAAGGGGGGAGAGGTAGGAAGGAGAGAGATAGGGCGAGGGAGGAAAGAGCCAAGTAAAGAAGAAGAGGTGCAGACGTGGTGGAAGAAGCCTTGGCCACACTCACGCTCTGCTGCTCCATCGCCTCCAGTAGGGCCTAGTGGAGGCAGTGGTGCGAGAGGAAAGGGAAGAGCCAAGTAAAGATGGAGGGGTTGAAGACGAAAATGAAGCATTGGCCACACACTCACGCTCATCCTCTAATGCTCCATTGCTTCCTCACTGCCTAGAGAGGGGACGTGGGTTGAATGAGGACGGAAAGAGCAAAGTACAGATGAAGAGGGTGCAGCTGTTGGAGCAGCCTTGGGCGCAGTCACGCTCTGCGGAGAGTGTGCCAGCGCCATGGCTCTTTGTGAGGAGAGTTGGGGAAGAAGGGAGAAGCGGAGCCGGTGGGTGGGAGGGAGTGGAGTGAGAGATGTGGGAAGACAAGACGCACAGGAAGGAGAGACGCATGTCATTGCACACTCAATCGATTCTCTTGTTGCTCACTAATAACCATCATACCTCCTCACAGCATGCTACCCACGCCCCGCCCACCTGTTGTTCGTTGCCCATCTTATCGAACTCGTCAATGCAGCACGTGCCTTGGTCAGCCATCACCATCGCTCCTGCAGGGGAAAGCAACGGGAGAGGACGACAGGGGAAGAGAGTAAGGGTGCCATCCAAGCGCCAAGCGCCTCACATTTTGCATCAAGTGCCTCAAATTTCGCCAATGCAGCACGTGCCCTGATCCGCCATCACCATGGCTCCTGTGAGAGAAGCAGCATGACACTCGGACAGGGAATGAGAGAGAGCGAGGATGGCGCTTTTCAAGTGTCCCAGACAGACAACTCGTCAATGCAGCACGTGCCCTGGTCAGCCATCACCATTGCTCCTGTGATGGAAGATGGAGACAATTGAAGTGCTATTGAGGCATCCTCAATAAGAAATATTCGTCAATGCAGCATGTGCCCTGATCAGCGGCTGGCACCTGTGGCATCTTCGATACCGATGAGAAAAATCTCAGGTTCAAATCTCAAAAGGACCCGCAACCCCGCAACCCCACCACCAACCTGCTTCAAAGGCGTACTCCCCACCAGGCCCATCCTTCACCACTGCCACCGTTAGCCCCCCAGAGGAGAGAGCAGAGCACATTGCTCCCACAGCCTACCTGAAGAGCGTCAGCAGCATCACTTTCACCGCCCAAAACGTTTCTCCTACTCCACCACGACCTGCTTCGAATGCGTATTCCCCGCCAGGCCCGTCCTTCACCACTGCCACTGTGAGCCCCACAGAAGAAGCGCCAGAGCCACACACGTACACCCCACATGAACTGTGACATGCGCACAAACCCTCCCCACCCCATCTCCTACCCCACCCGACCACGAACCTGCTTCAAAGGCGTACTCTCCCCCAGGCCCGTCCATGACCACTGCCACCGTGAGCCCCACAGAGGAGGCGCTGGTGCTGCACACGTACACCCCACATGAACTGTGACATGCGCACAAACACTCCCCACCCCATCTCCTCCCCACCCCATCTCCTACCCACCCCATCTCCTACCCCACCCCACCACCAACCTGCTTCGAAGGCATACTCCCCACCAGGCCCGTCCTTGACCACTGCCACAGTGAGACCCACAGAAGAGGCGCCAGAGCCACACACGTACACCCCACGAGGTGCCACCGCTGCAGCTGCCTTGAGCAGCTGGCTCTTGCCCATGCCTGGATCGCCTGGTTGGATGATGCGAGTGAGTGATTGAATGACACGGAAGGGAACGCATGAAGGCTTGGCTCAGTTTGAGTGGCCATCGAGCCAGATTTAAAATCACCGCTGCTGCTGCTGCTGCTGCTGCTGCTGCTGCTGCTGCTGCTGCTGCTGCTGCTGCTGCTGCTGCTGCTGCTGCTGCTGCTGCTGCTGCCTTGAGCAGCTGGCTGTTGGCCATGCCTGGATCGCCTGGATGGATGGTGCGAGTGAGTGACAGGGGATGTAAGGGAAGTTGATACCTCTGAGTTCAGTCACCCTTTGCAATGATACACTTCCCATACCTGTGTTGGGAAGGAGCTGGATGTCAGAAAGGTGGAGGAAAATTGGAAGTGCTTTAATTCAAGAAATAGGCACAAGCAGAAGCAGCTAGAGATTAGAATTTCCGCACCGGCTGCCTGCAGGATACACCCACTCACAGAGGTAGTTTTAAGTGGCATAGACAAGCGAGCACCTGTCCATTACCATCACGCTCCATTGCACCCACTTACCCACTAGCAGCGCGTGCATATCACCCTTGACTGGTACACGGTTGGCGTCCCCCTCGTGCTTGCGCACCCCACCGAAGAGCGACAGAATGATGCCCGCTGCTGTTTGAGTTGACAAAGAAGTTACTTTAGCAAGCACTTACCCACTAGCAATGCGTGCACGTCTCCCCTGACTGGCACACGGTTGGCGTCCCCCTCGTGCTTGCGCACCCCGCCAAAGAGCGACAGTATAATGCCCGCTGCAAGTGAGAGAGAAAGGGGGGACGGCAGGGAGGAAGGGGGAAGCAACTGCAGGTGACACCGTACCACGGAGAAATGGCATGAGTGCACGATTTGCTGAAACAGATCACTTTCTTCGACCATAGACGGAATGGTAGTGGTAATGGTAATGGCAATGGTAATGGTAGTGGTAACGGTAGTGGTAATGGTAATGGTAATGGTAGTGGTAATGGTAATGGTAATGGTAATGGTAGTGGTAGTGGTAATGGTAATGGTAATGGTAATGGTAATGGTAGTGGTAATGGTAATGGTAATGGTAGTGGTAATGGTAATGGTAATGGTAATGGTAATGGTAATGGTAATGATAATGGTAATGGCAAGAATAATGGTAATGGTAATTATGATAGTAATGGTGACGGTAATGGTAATGGTGTAATGGTAATGGTAATGGTAGTGAATTTGGTAATGGTAATGGTAATGGCTGTAGACAAAATGACAAAGTTGAGTGACTCACAGGGTTCAGAAAGTCAATCCAGCTTTGACCTGCACATGGCCGTAGACGGAATGGCAGCAGGAGTGCACGATGTGCTGAAACAGATCACCTTCTTCCTCAGGTCCTCCTCCCCCATCTCCACCGCCCCTCCACTCGCACCAATAGCAGCACACAGCGGAGAGCGGAGAACAGGCAAGTCAGCCCACCTTTCACGAGCACATGGCCGTAGATGGAGGGGCAGAAGGACACGATGTGAGGAAGATTCTCCTAGGTGCCTAAGAAAGACTCACCTTTGACAAGTACGTGGCCATAGATAGAAGGGCAGAAGGACAGTAAGTTGTGCTTGACAAAGGTTCTTGAACATGCCTCAGAAAGACTCACCTTTCACGAGCACATGGCCGTAGATGGAGGGGCAGAAGGAGTGCACGATGTGCTGAAACAGGTCGCCCTCCCCCTCATGCTCCTCAATCGACTCATCAGCTTCTCAGAGAGTCATCCCACCTTTGACGAGCACATGACCGTTGATGGAAGGGCAGAAGGAGTGGTTGAAACAGAGAAAAAGACTGTAGGTGCTTCAAAAAGAGTCACCTTTAACCAGCACATGGCCGTAGATGGAGGGGCAGAAGGAGTGAACGATGTGTTGAAACAGGTCGCCCTGCCCCTCGTGCTCCATCACATACTCCAGTATGCTCCTCAGGTCCTCCTCCCCCAGCTCCACCGCCCCTCCACTCGCACCACCCGCAGAGGGTGGAGAGCGGAGAGGAGGCGTGGTAGGAGCGGTTGCTGCTGCTGCAGTGGTGGCGGCGCTTGGAGTAGTGGACTGGGAGTTGGCATTGACGACAGAGATGGCGTCTATGTAGAGCTGGAACAGGCACTGCTCTCTCTTCTTGGACCGCCCTGAAACAGAGACGCACGTGGATGGACATGTGTGTGTGTGTGCACGCGCATGTGAGGCGCCTCATAAGCAGATGACGATGGAGATGGCGTCTATGTAGAGCTGGAAAAGACACTGCTCTCTCTTCTTGGACCGCCCTGCCATGAGTAAAAAAAAAAAACCGTTTCAAATGCATCCAAATACATGTAAGTGTGCGTTCGACTCAAAAACCCCATTTTCTCCCACTTCCTCACCTCCCACCCCTCCCCCCCCCCCCCCCACCTTCTCCCACGTCAGTCTCATTATTGATAAACTTGACAATGCTGCACACCGCCACCACGTCCCCAGCAGACACACAACTTCTAAGCCGATAAAAAAGCTACCTTCAACTCATATCACCTCACCTACCCTACTCCCTCACCTCCCCCCACGTCCATCTCGTTGTTGATGATCTTCACAATGCCACACACAGCCACCACGTCTCCCGGCAGACACGCACCTTTGAGCCAACTCAGAACCCACTTCCCACTCCTCCTATCCCACCCCTCACCTCCTTACTCCCTCACCTCCCCCAACGTCCATCTTGTTGTTGATGATGTTGACAATGCCACACACAGCCACCACGTCCCCCGGCAGACACGCACCTTTGAGCCAACTCAGAACCCACTGTTCACTTCTCCTATCCCGCCCCCTCACCTACACCCTCACCTCCCCCAACGTCCATCTCGTTGTTGATGATCTTGACAATCCCGCACACCGCCACCACGTCCCCCGGCAGACATGCATCAGCCAGGTCTTCCCTCAACTCGCAGTCCACCACTCGAGGCATCCTCCCCATGTCCTCTCCCCCTCCCGTGCCCCCTGTCAACTCCTGTAGGCTGAATCTCGGAGGAAAAATGTGGGGGAAAATTGGGAGAAATTGAGGGATAGAGAGTGCAGAGGTGTGTGTGAGGCAGGCACGCATCAGCCAGGTGCTCCCTGAGCTCGCAGTCCACCACCCGCGGCATCCTCCCCATGTCCTCGCCCCCACCAGTGCCGCCTGACAGCTCCTGCAGACTGCATCTCAGTAGAAAAAACAGAGACTGTGACTGAGATGTGCAAGAGGATAGAGCTAGGGGGTGAGGGTTGAGGAAAGGAGATGCAGAGATGCTGCACGGCTCCAGCAGGATTCGAATGGTGGAGACGGTAGGAAGGGTGGGTGACAGATCCACAACTCACCGTATTGTCTGGAAGTTTATTTTCCGGGCACCTGCCCGGTTCTGCAGGAAGGTGCGGTTGCGGCAGTTGTCATGACCGCAGGCAGCTGGCTGGGTGAAACGGCCGTCCGGGAAGGAGAGGGAGGTAACGGCGCCGCAGCGTGTGCAGGTGAAATCCATGGCGACCACTAGAGGCCGCAGTGGACCCACCCGCACCACTGTCCCGCACACTGTCACCAGCCGATCTGGGTGAAAGAATTGGAGAAGAGAAGGGGAGCAGAGAAGAGGATTAAAGCGAAGCGGAGAAGAGAAGAGAGGAGAGCGGAGGTCCAGGTGACAACAGTGAGGAGAGAGCAACCTTGACACTTCCACACAGCAGCCAAGCAAGACGATGAAGATGTGAAATGTTGGTTGTAAAGGAAAAACGAGAACAGAATTGGTGCAGCTGGTGCAACAGAACTGTTACAAGGAAATGGTCTCACCAAGGCTGCTGGCTTTGAGCTTCTTGAATTCAATAATCGAGTCGGTGTGGTCGACCAGCCTCACAGCCAGGCGAGATGAGGCGTACTGTGAGGCGCATGCCGACGCAGAGGGGAGGGCCGGGGCCTCGATCAGGCCTCTCTCCAGAAACATCTGGCATGTAGGGGGGGAGAGGCGAATTGTTTAGTCGACGCAAAAGTCACAAGGGGAAGGTGGGGCCTCAATCAGGCCTCTCTTGAGGAATATCTGGCAAGTAGAATGAGGCAAGTGGTGAGACCGTGTGAGGGTGACTGCGGAGTAAGGGGAGAACGCTACATTGAGAGCAATAGCTGATCATCAGCGCACACACATGGGTAACGAAAACAGACACTGACAAGGAAGACTCAGCAAGGCACCGAAGGCAGGCCAGCAAAGAGAGGACACATGGAGCGCAGCACCACTGGCGGAACCTGCTATCAATGTAATACAGCTGCGCTATTGAACCTTTACTGCAGTGGCACGCGGCCCTACTTTGCGTGCATGAGATGAACCAGCACGTCAACGAACGCAACGCACCTCGGTGGCAGCAGCACCCAGGCAGGCGAGTGCTTCCTCTGGCGCTGCTTCAAGCGCCTGAAGCAGCAACTCCGCAGCTGCACCTAGATCAGTCTGGCCAGTGCTACACGCAGGCTGCAGATGCTGCTTCAGTGCCTCCATGCTGACCGTCCATCTCGAGTAGAGAGACAGCTCCTTGGGATCTGCCTGTATTGGTGGGAGGCAGGAATGAGAATAGACGGAGGCCCGATGGTTGAGTTGTGGCCGTTGATGCAGAAAGCGACTGTCATGGCGCTGGGTCGTATTTGCCATTGCACCTGCGATTGTCAGTTTCAGCATCTAGCAATGTCAGTCATTGCGTTAGGAAATGTCAGTTCAATCATCAATCCACATTAGCCACTGAATAAAAATGTCAGCAGCTTCTAATGTCGGAAATTATCTGTGGTTACATCAGGGTACGCCTACTGATGCAAGAGAGGTCATCCAAGCAGTGCAATGCAGGTCATCCGACGCTACCTGCTGCAGCAGCTGCTGGCCTTTTTCCGTCAGGAATCCGTCAATGAGCGATTTGATAAGCTCGGCTCGTCGGTCCTCGGGTGAGAACTCCTCGCTAGGAAAGTAAAGCGTCCACGAAATCGGTACACCAGACGCCTGAACGGGAGGTCTGTAAAGCGCCTCCATTTAGCTCGTAAAGGAGGAAAGTGATTTATTTAAGCAACAAACAGTGGTGATCGCATCGCACGAAAACGTCCTTTGATAAAAAGGAGCGCTACTTCTTCACGCCTGGTCTATTATCCCCGAGGGTAGCGGCATGTCTGGAAGAATATACGCAGTAATAGGATGACGATCACCGGAAAAGTAGAAGGGAGAATAGCCAACTATGAATCCATTGTACCACTTGTCTGGGTGCTTGATGCGACAGAGCAAGAACTAATGCGACAGAATCTAGAAAGTCCTGAAAATGAGAGCTCCATACCAAAGTTCGGAGCCACATTCCACGATTGCTGGTACGGCAGCTTCAAGGTTACGCTATTCCTGCATTGCTATCAGGGACTTTCACCATACTGGATCACACGGCAACTCTCGGTAACATAGAAAACCAAGTCCAACCCATCTAAATATCTGAGCCTGGAGTGTTTTTCAACCAACCTTCTTCGGAATTGGATTGGATTGTCATTGTCACCACAGGCAACACGCAAACGAAATTTGGATTTTCCAAAACGAGGACAGATGAACACACCAATACGCTCCTCAGGATCCATGTGCGAAACTCTCAGGCGACATGGCTGCTCGCCATAGCTCCTCGCCATAGCGGCAACCTCATTCGTAAGATCCATATCACGCGGCCAGCGATAGCAGTCAACGCACGTAGATTCCGATACAGGAACATTCGAACGCTGCTACCTTTTTTGTGTGAATATGTCAATGTGACTCGGTCCGATTTTGTAACAGACGTTTGATCCGATCTCGTCGGAATCCGGCCGTAATCGTTCGCCTTCAAGTTGAGCCATCCGTCGCGCGTGTCGTCCCCAATGGCGTGGTGACTTTTGATTCGACCCAAAAGCCAGAGTAGTTCACCCGACATGTTCCATCCGTCGCGCGTGTCGGCGGCGACAGTTTGAGCTTTAGATTCTATTTTCACGTCGCAGAATCCCCTAAAATGTTGAACCATCCGTCGCGCGTGTCGTCGGCGACGGCTTGAGCTTTAAACTCTTTAGTCATTTTTAGAATTCCCCAAAATGTTGAACCACCCGTCGCGCGTGTCGTCGGCGTCGGCGTGGACGTTGAACGTGGTCAGCTCGGTCGCCATCATTCTCGTCAACAAGCAAGTCATGTCCGGATATGCCTTCGTTTACGGTCAGTAGCACCACCGCTCTTAGCCGCCTTCATCAATGCTCACCCAATCATGCCCGTCCGGTCAAGTCTTCGTTCCGCCCCGCATCCCTCGTAGACCCCTCTTCCCCCCCTCTCCCCTCCCCCCACCCTTTTTCAACCACGTTTCCCCCTTTTCCCCTTTTCGCCCCCTCCTCCCCCCCCTCGCCCCCCAGCAACCACTCTGAGCGGCCTGCACCTCTCCTTCGCCACTCTAGCCGGGCTGCTCTGCCTCTGCCTCGCGCGCTTCCTCCTCTCCCCCTCCCCCTCCCCCTCCCCCTCCCCCGCTCCACTCTCCTCCTCCGCCTCTCTGCTCCACCCCTCCGCCGCGCCTCCCCCCGCGCCTGTCCCCACTCTGCCCGCATGGGAGGTGGGGCGCTTCACGCTGCTGTCCAACGTGTGTGTCGTCACCACCAACTTCGCCCTCCTAGCCAACTCGGTCGGCTTCTATCAGGTGCGCAACACCCGCAATACCCTCACTGATGTGTCCTTTGAGCCGCCTTATAGGTAGGTGGGGCGCTTCACGCTGCTATCCAACGTGTGTGTCGTCACCACCAACTTTGCCCTCCTTGCCAACTCCGTCGGATTCTACCAGGTGCGCAGCACACAAAATACCCTCACTGGTACGCCTTTTGAGGCGCCTCATCGTTTGACGCTGCTGTCCAACGTGTGTGTCGTCACCACCAACTTCGCCCTCCTTGCCAACTCCGTTGGATTCTACCAGGTGCGCACCACACACACCCACTCAATCGTCTACACACAGTTGTCGCTCTTGAGGCGCCTCATCCCTTCACGCTGCTATTCAACGTGTGTGTCGTCACCACCAACTTCGCCCTCCTTGCCAACTCCGTTGGCGTCTATTCTACCAGGTGAGCGCCGCCACCACCTAGTCAATCATTAAAACCCTCACTCAACTAGCCACCGCAATCGTTCACATTGCCGGCTCGACTGGCCGACCTCTACACATTGACTCACGTTCTCCACATAAGCTGCTCCCTTCACCGCACTGCACCAGATCAGCCGTCTGGCGATCATCCCTTTGACCTGCGCGTTTGAGTCCCTGCTACACGGCAAGTCCTACTCAGCCCCCACGCTGGCAGCAGTGATGGTGGTGCTGGTGGGAGTGGGTGTGTGCACGGTCACTGATGTCACTGTCACTGATGTCACTGTCAGCTCAATTTTTGAGTCTTCTCATTTTTCGCTGCACCGCACCTGCCCTTACCACACTGCACCCCTCCTTACACCCCTCCACTGGCCACCAGATCAGTCGGCTGGCGATCATTCCCCTGACATGTATGTTCGAGTCCCTGCTGCACTGCACCCGCCCTTACCACACTGCACCCCTCCTTACACCCCTCCACTGGCCACCAGATCAGTCGGCTGGCGATCATTCCCCTGACATGTATGTTCGAGTCCCCGCTACACAGAAAGACCTACTCGCCCCCCACGCTGGCAGCGGTGCTGGTGGTGCTGGTGGGAGTGGGTGTGTGCACGGTCACTGACGTCTCTGTCAGCGCGTTCGGACTCGTCACCGCTGCTGCCGGTGCTGTCTCAACATCTCTGCAGCAGATTGTGAGTATAAAGGCCTACTCGGCACTTATGCTAGCAGCCGTGCTGGTGGGAGTGGGTGTGTGCACGGTCACTGATGTCTCTGTCAGCGCGTTTGGTCTTGTCACTGCTGCCGCTGGCGCTGTCTCCACGTCCCTGCAACAGATTGTGAGTGAAGCGGGGGTGGCAGAGATAATAACGTTTTACAGAGCAGCGGTAAGAGGGCTTGAACAAAAAGAAAGGAATTTGTTTTGTTGCAGCAGCCCAGGCCATCAGCTTTTGCGTCTCTCACGTACTGCTGACTTGTGATACAAGGCAACTGTGGCATGTCTGAGTCACAGCTTCCTCACCGCTTCAAATTCACTGTCGTCCCTTGCACTTCCCTGCCCTCCCTCCGCTCCCCATTCATCCAGTCAGTAGGCGAGTTACAGCAGCGCTATGCCCTGGGATCCTTTGACCTGCTCATTCAGACTGCTCCCCTGCAAGCAGCGTCGCTGCTGCTGCTGGGACCCGTTGTGGACTTGCTCCTCACAGGCCAGAGCATCATTCACTACACCTGGACTGCCAATGCGATGGTAGGTGCTGCATATCGTTTGTTGAATCAAAAGTGTCAACGCAAGCAGCGTCGCTGCTGCTGCTGCTCGGACCCGCTGTGGACGTCCTCCTTACAGGCCAGAGCGTCCTTCACTACACCCTGACTGCCAACTCGATGGTAGGTGTTTCATGTCGTTGTTGAATCATAAATGTCAATGCAAGCAGCCCCCTTTCTGCTGCTGCTGGGACCCGCTGTGACGCCCTTTCATCCACCACACCCTGACTGTCGACGCCACTGTAGGTGCTGCTTTTCGTGTTGAATCAAAGTCGATTGCACAGTAGACGGCACGAATCAGCTGAAGTCCCATCTCCATTCAGTTCTCACACACCAAGGTTCCTAACCTGTTGCTGTCCCCATCCCCCATCCACCCCCCAGGCGTGGATCCTCCTCTCCTGCATCCTCGCCCTCCTCACCACTGTCAGCGTCTACCTCTGCATTGGAAAGTTCTCTGCAGTTTCCTTCCAGGTCCTGGGCCACATGAAGACCGTCGCCATACTGCTACTAGGCTGGGCAGTCTTTAAAGACCCCCTTACTCTTAAGACGCTCTTAGGGATGCTCCTGGCTGTGACAGGGATGGTGCTGTATAGCTGGGCCGTGGAGAGGGAGAGGCGGTCGAGGGAAGGTGAGGGGAGGGATGAGGAGGAGGGTGATGCGGCAGCAGGTGAAGGGGTGGCAGCAGAGGCAGCAAGAAGTGGGGCAGCACCTGGGGCTGTGGATGGGGGTGTAGCTACACTTGAATTAAATGAGACCACACCACTCTTACAAGCAGGACAGGGTAATGGTTATGGATCTGGTGTGAATAGTGTTACTGTGAAAAGTGGTGGAAGCAATGCAACAAGCGTAGGATGAGCGTGTTCTTGCTGTACTATTCTATACTTCGCTGTACAATATGATTGGTGTATACGGTTTATATCCTTTAGGTTACAGACATGCTAACAGTGTTGGGCAGCCCCGGGGACAGCGTGGGTGCAGTGCTGTGGGGTAACAGTAGATCCATTGTTTCCATATCACACCAGCAATCACCTCTGCCAGTGTGTCTTGGGACTTGGCTTTGTGAGCAAGGTCCTGCACTGCAGCCTGCTTCATGGTTTAGTGTAATGTAGCGGCTGTTGTACTGTGTCCCCTTCGTTCCCATCATTCAGACACCACCCCAGCTACTTTGGCCAGATATCCCACGGCTTCTGTTGGTACTGCTCTTTAAATCATTGAACACACATCATTATAAGAATGGTTTAGTGTACTGTAACAACTGTTGTACAGTAACCCCTCTTTCCCACATCACGGCAGCGAGCACCTCGGCCAGTTTGTCCACATCAGCCATGGCTCGGTGGGCCAGGTCTGGGTGGGCAAAAGGCGTGGAGCAGCGGAAGTGCGTTGAGAAGAGGAACCCCAGGGCCTTGCTTGCTGGCTTGCGATCTGCGTCTGATGGGGAGACGATTAAGAGGGAATGGAGAGCGAGGAAAGAGAAAGGGGTTGAAAGGGCGTGGAGCAGCGGAAGTGCGTTGAGAAGAGGAACCCCAGGGCCTTGCTTGCTGGCTTGCGATCTGCGTCTGATGGGGAGACGATTAAGAGGGAATGGAGAGCGAGGAAAGAGAAAGGGGTTGAAAGGGCGTGGAGCAGCGGAAGTGCGTTGAGAAGAGGAATCCCAACGCCTTGCTCGCTGGCTTGCGATCCGTGTCTGTCCGGAGGAATTTGGGAAGGATATGGGAGGGGAGGAGGGCGCAGGAGAGCAAGGATGGAGCCCCTGGCAGAGGCAGAGGCGTATATGAATGCGACGTACTCACCTCCGCCCTCCTCCCCTCTCAGGCCTTCTCAGGAACGCGACGCACTCACACACCACTCACTTACCACCTGAGAAGGCTGCTGAAAAAGCGTACCCAGCCGTTGTAGTCGTCCCCGTGCCCATATCTGGCCCTAACCTTGGCCTATCCTTGTAGTGCTATATACCTTTGAAGAGCCTCTGCACGAGGCGCATGGAGTCGAGGGAGTGCCAACCCGGAGGCACAGCAATCCCCACTCGCTGTAGTTCGTTGCGCAGCAGAGGGAAGTCAAACGACCACCCATTGTGCGCCACCAGCACCACCGGGGGCAGCAGCAGGGCGGCTGCAGAAGAAACAGCGCTCGTCTGAGTCATCTCTGCACTCATCATCCCCATGCGCGTCCCTCCTCCTGCCCCGGTCTCGGTGTTGACATAGACGCCAGTGGTAGCACTGCTGTGTACTGAGACTGCTGCCCGCCCTGCCTGTGCCACCCGCCCTGCCTGTGCCACCCGCCCTGCCTGTGCCACCCGCCCTGCCTGTGCCACCCGCCCTGCCTGTGCCGCCCGCCCTGCCTGTGCCGCCCAGCCTGCCTGTGCCGCCCGCTCAGCCTGTGCCACCCGCCCTGCCTGTGCCGCCCGCTCAGCCTGTGCCACCCGCTCAGCCTGTGCCACCCGCCGGGCCTCTACAAAGTCCACCAGCAGCCGCCCAGCTTCTCGCCAGCTGAGGCGTTTCGATTCATGTGACAAGGGGGAAACAAAATCAGGAGCGAGGGAGATGTGGGCGACAAAGTTGACATGGAAAATATAAGTGAGAGTAGGGGCCATTTGAGAAGCCTCAAAAAGCTTGACGCTTCTGAGAATATGCACGGGTGATCGTACGGGCGGGGGGGAGGGCATGCGTGTGCTGATGCCACGCAAGAGAACTCCCCACACTCACTGGGGCACGGAAGGGCGGTTGACCATGCGCATGCTGATCCCATGCACCCTCTCCGCTTCGGGAGAAATGTGCCGCGGGTATGGGTTACCCAGTGTGTGCAGCGCAAGACAGAGAGAGCTCTCAGCACGCACAGGGAAGCGACTCACTGCGGCACGGAGGGGCGGTTGACCATGCGCATGCTGATCCCATGAATCCTCTCCGCGTCGGCAGAGATGACCCGAGGGAACGGATTCACCAGCGTGTGCAGCGCTGCCCCTCTCCCCCCCGCCACGTCCCTCAGCGCCAGCTCCACTATGCGGTTCTGTGTGGTGCCCTGCCCGGTCGTTTCAAAGTCCAGCAAGATCACCACTGGCAGCGGGCCGTCCTCGTTATAAGCATCCTCGGCAGCTTCTTCTAATTTCCCCGGCTCTTTCTCCTTGTCATGTTTTGCTTTCCGCCGTTGCCGCTGACTTGGCTGCGCTGCTGCTTCTGATTCTGCTGCATCTTCTGTTGAGATTTTCTTTGCTGCTGCTGTCACTCTCCCTACAGTCACCCTCGTTGCTACCACCCTTTCCTCTCTCACTTTCCACAATCTCCCTCTCCCTTCTATCACATTCCCTTCTTTCGCAATCCCTTTCTTCACTCTCCCTTCTCTTACAGTCCCTCCTCTCGCATTCCCTCTCGCACTCACTACAGTCATACCCGCCTGTGTCCCTGCAGGTACATGAATCCCTATCCGCATGCTCCGCCGCAGCCCGCCGACATCCGTTACAGTCACACCATTCGACGTCCCAATTGCTGTCACGCCGTTTAAAGCCCCAATTGCGAGAGACGGCCGGAAGAGGCACGCGAAGGCGACAGGAAGGCGGTATTCCCTGAGAGAGGTCACTCGCTCTGGCAGATTATTAAGTCCAATTAGAGAGTAAGGCGAGTGTAAACAGCGGACGGAAGGACAGTGCGGAGAGCGCAGCAGGGGATGGAGCGGCGGAGGGGAATGGGGAGCGAGCGGGGGAGAGTAAGGGAGAGCGCGCGGTAGGAGGCGCGGAAGGCGGAAGGGACGGCGGAGAGAATGCGCGAGGAGCATTCGATTGGGTCTGGGGGGGTTCACGGGTAAAGAGCAACGGGAATGCGGTAACTTGTGCGTCGGACTCAGGGAGCGTCGGAATCGCGAATAAAAAGCAGCGACCGTGCGACGTGCGACCGTTGTCGCCCTAGGTCGACGCGACACCGACGAGTGTGTCGCACAGTATGTCGTTGGCTTGTTTCATCCATGATTGTTGCTTGGCTTTATTGGTTAGGGTGTGAAACATTTGGGTTACCCTTTTTCCAAACGAACGTTCTGAAAATTACCATAGCTCACTGTATCATAGCGTTTACCAAACAGACCATCATCAACGTTCATGCACTACGGTTCATTTGGAAAAAGTCCCAAATGTTTGTGTTTGCAATGTTCCACATAAGGGAGCCGGAAAATCGGGGGATTTACTGTTTAGGGTTTAGGGTTCCTAAACCCCCTTCTACTGTGTTAAAGGGGGATTTACTGTTCCCTTTGAACAGTACTTTCCCAACCCATCCAAGTCATCCCTATCCTTATCTTTGTGGATTTCCTAGTGCCACGTGGCACTCTACTTTTCTAGCTTCACAATTCCTAGTCCCACAATCTACTTTCCAACCTTGTTTCTTGCATGCTATATAAACCTTGCTTGTATTCCCTCATATCAACCAATTCTCATTCAACTCTCTTTCAATTACTCAGTAACTTCTTCGCCTCTTTCGCCAATAGTTCTTTCGCCAAAGTCTTCCGCCGCGTTTCATCCTCGACTTAGTCGACCCCGCTAATTCTTTAGCGGACTTAGGCCGTCGGGCCTAACACTTGGTATCAGAGCCTTCGCGGGGAGCGACTTCCAACGAGCGGCCGTCGACGACGAGACTACGACGTCATCGTCCCGCGGTGCCGACTTGCAGACTTGGAGTCGTCGAGCGAACATGGACGAAACCATGCACGCTCTCCCCCACGACATGGGCAACACGCTTGCCGAACTCATGCGCCAACTTCAAGAGTTGACGTTGGAAAATCGTCAGGTACGAGCTGAAATGCAACAGCTTCGTGAATTGGCTTCTAACCCCCATGGTCATGCCGCACCAACTCCTGCACCCACCACGTCGACTGGCGCGGAAGCGCTGCCGGAACGTCGAAGCGCGCTCAAGCCGCAGAAACCGGAGTCGTTCGACCCAAGTCAACGCGACGCGAACGTGCGGACGTGGCTCTTCATGCTCAACAACTGTTTCGCCGCGAGCGGGGTGCAAGAGGCGGACGCGCAGCAGCGGATCGAGTACGCGGTGACGCTGCTGAGGGGCCCGGCCTTGGAGTGGTGGCGCCAACTTACGCAGACTGCTGTTAGAAGGGCTCAGACGGACGGGCATCAACAGGGCGTGGGGCATGCAGCTGCAACTTCGAGCTTAGGGAGTTTAGCTTTGGGTGTTACCACGGTTCCGACGACATGGGAAGGATTTGAAGCGGCGCTGAAAAGTAGGTTCGATTTGGTGAACGCCTCCGAAGCTGCTAGGAAGCGTCTGCGTAATTTCCAACAGATAGGAAACGTCCAGGAGTACACACGACGGTTCTTGAGCATCTGCAACGAGATAGACGACATCACGGAAGCAGAGATGCGCGATCGCTACCTCGAAGGGTTGAAGCCGGACATAGCGGAGGTTATAGCGATTCACGGGTTGTCCACCTTCGAGTCAGTAGTCGCAGCAGCAGAACGCGTCGACGCAGTACGAAGCCGACGGGGTCGTGACGATCGCGATAGGGGATACAACAGACCGATCAACGACGCTCGATCGAGGGACGGACCATCGCCCATGGAGATTGGTGCAGTTAACAGTGACGGTTCACAGCGGACGGGTTTTAGGGGGAACTGTTACTACTGCAAAAAGCCGGGTCACATGAAGCGGGACTGCCCACAGTTCAAGGAGCAGCAGCAGGGAAACGGAAACCGCCAGTAGATAGCGGGTCGCTAGCTGGTGTGGAGGTTCACGTACTCGCCACGTCTACCAACGTAGAGGAGACGGCCTTGCAGCAGTCATCTACGGAGAACGGGGTAGACACTGTTGATCGTCCAGTCGTGCTTCTAGGGAAGCTTCGCGGAGTTCCTGTTAAGATTCTCGTCGATAGCGGAGCTAGCCACTCGTTCGTTTCGTCTTCATTAGTTAGTCGTCTCCATCTCGAAGCGGACACTTCAGTTAACTTCAAGGACGCTCGCATGGTAGATGGGACGCCACTCCACATAGGACCGATCATTCGCAAATTGCGCGTAGTGCTAGGACCGATCACAATTAGACGCGATTTCGACTCTGTGACGTTGGACGGATACGACTTCATCTTCGGTAGAGATTGGTTGCGGACGGTTTCGACTCAGTTCGATTGGGCTCAGGGAAGCTGTAGCGTCAAGGTAGACGGGGAGTTCCGGGAGCTGCCACAGTGGAGCGATGGGGCCACATCATCCACAGCTATCATTAATGCTGTTCGTGTGCGACAGTTAGTGAAGCGTGCGGCACGGATCTTTGCGGTTTTCCTTGAGGAGGTTGAAGCTGAGGAGGGGAAAGGAGGGAGTGCAGCAGTTAGTGAGAAGGCGACTCTTCCTGCTGAGGTGAGTGCACTGTTAGCAGAGTTCGCAGACGTCTTCCCCGACGAGTTGCCCCCAGGGTTACCTCCCAGCCGAGCAGTAGACCATCGAATAGAGTTGGAGCCGGGGAGCAGGCCAGTAGCGAAGCCGCAGTGGAGGTTGAGTCCAGCAGAGACAGAGGAGATGACGCAGCAGGTTAGGCACTTTCTCGCACAGGGGTTCATACAGCCATCTAGATCGCCTTGGGCCGCACCGATCCTTTTCGCGCCTAAGAAAGACGGAGGGTTACGGATGTGCATAGATTACCGCGCACTGAACGCCGCCACCGTCAAGAATAGGTTCCCGGTGCCGAGAGTAGAGGATCTCCTAGATGCAGTGCAGGGTGTGTCAGAATATTATGCTCTAGCCTGTAGTGAGGTGCTCTATAGCGAGTACAACCCTTCTAGGGTTTGCTATTTGTATCCCCATTCTTGCTAGTGTAAGCCCTCCTTTCTTCATTCTTACTTTCTACTGCTAGTTCTGACATGCTATCAGAGCAGGTTGACCCTCCTGGGTCGATCCTGTGGGTGGGCCCACCACCTCACTGCTTCCGCTGCTACTGCTACTCTGTGTGTTGCACGCCCCGTGGCGTGCGACGGATTTTTCATCCCGCCGCGCGCTCGGAGCGTGCGGCGGTTTTCTGCCCGCCGTGCGCCCCGAGGCGCGCGGCGGTTTTCTGCCCGCCGTGCGCCCCGAGGCGCGCGGCGGTTTTCTGCCCCGTCACACCGAGCGTTGCTCCCGGGAGGCGCTGCGACGGGCGACGGGGACCCGCGCGTCGCCCCCCGTCGCCCGTCGTGGCCTGCGCGCGGCCCGTACAGCCGGCGCGCGGCTCGGGCCGCCTGCGCGCGGTTCGGGAGGCTGTGCCAGACCCGTGGGCGGCCCGTTCTTCGCTGCCCCTGTCCTCCCCGCTGTCCCCCGTGCTTCTGAAGGCGCCCCACCCCTCCTTCTGCCCGTACTCCTGGATTAGGGTTTGGGGGTGGGGGGTATGGGGGTGCAGCTTCTGTGTGCCGTTCCCTGCTCCTCCTCCTCCTCCGTCTCCCTATGCTGTAGCTGCCGCTGAGGGGGGTGGACCTGTTGGAGCCGTCGGAGTGGTACTAAGGGGGGGGTGAAGGGGGAGTGGAGCTAGCGGTGTAGCAGCGGGTGTGTGTCAGGGGGAGTGGGATAGTTTGGGGAGGTTGAAGGGGGTGGCCGCCGTGAAGCCAGCAGCTCCAGTCGCCCGTGAGACCGTTGCGCCAGTCGCCCGTGAGCCCGTTGCGCCAGTCGCCCGTGAGCCCGTTGCTCCAGTCGCCCGTGAGTCCGTTGCTCGTCTGCCGCTACTTTCAGCCGCGGAGCCAGTTACTCCAGTAGCCCGTGTGCCAGTTGCTCCAGTTGCTCCAGTTGCCCGTGTGCCAGTTGCTCCAGTTGCGCCGTGTGCCAGCAGCTTCAGCTGCCGCCCACTACCTCCTCTCCTCTCATAGTCTCTTTCCTCCTCCTCACTTGCCCGTTGTGACTACCACTAGCTTTGCTCATAATTGTGAACTTTAAACTATTGCTTCTTGAACTTGTGCTCAGAATGTGTGGTGACATTGTGATCCACCCTGAGCTTGTACTGCTTTGCTTGCTCTGTTGATTACACCCCACTTTGGCTATGGGGGTGTGTCAGAATATTATGCTATAGCCTGTAGTGGGGTGCTCTATAGCGAGTACAACCCTTCTAGGGTTTGCTATTTGTATCCCCATTCTTGCTAGTGTAAGCCCTCCTTTCTTCATTCTTACTTTCTACTGCTAGTTCTGACAGGGTGCTAGAGTCTTCTCCACGATCGACCTTCGTTAGGGTTACCACCAGATTCGCGTAGTTCCAGAGGACCAGCACAAGACGGCATTTTGTACGAAGCAGGGGGTTGTACGAGTTTAGGGTTCTACCTTTCGGGTTGACCAACGCCCCTGCGACGTTCCAGACGCTCATGAACACAGTCCTCTCGGAGTTCCTAGGTTCGTTCGTCGTAGTTTACCTAGACGACATCCTCATCTTTTCCAAGTCGAAAGAGGAGCACGTGCAGCACTTGCAGAAGGTCTTCGACGTTTTGCGGAAGGAGAAGCTGTACGCGAAGCGGTCTAAGTGCGAGTTCTTCCTCACCGAGGTCGAGTTCCTAGGACACGTCGTATCCGCTAGTGGCGTTAGGACCGACCCGAAGAAGATCGCAGCCGTACAGGATTGGGTAGCACCGACCTCAGTCAAGGAGTTGCAGAGCTTTCTCGGATTCGCAAATTACTACCGTCGTTTCGTTCAGGGTTACGCTTCCATCGCTAGTCCACTCACCGACCTACTTCGGAAAGGCGTAGAGTACGTTTGGGGTCCAGCGCAGCAGCAGGCGTTCGAGCAGATGAAGCAGTCGCTCACGTCTTCACCGACACTGTCGTACCCTGATCCCACTCG